CCCTCGGGGCCCACCTGTCCGGGGCGTGGCCCGAGGGCTCCCTCTATCTCCCTCTCTCTCCTCCACCCCAGAGTGAGCACGGCCGCCCGCCCAGGGCCAGGAAGGGAGGGTGCACTGGCCGGCGGTGGCCACCCAGAGAAGGCCTGGCCGCGGCTCAGGCCAGCACAATGTCCGTGACCTCTGCCCCTGAATTGTTTATCGTCCGTCTGCTTTGTTCTGGGTGAGGAAGGCCCGTGCAGGTGGAACTTGAATCATTCAATGTGAATGGGTCTGAGCTCTCCCGGCCCCGGGCGGCCAGGCCGAGCGTTTTGCACTAAGTGTCCCGCGTGGTGGACGTGGGTCCAGAGCGTTGGCCGGCGGGCGTGGCTGATGATTGTATGTGCTGGCGCCCCCGCCCCGAGCGTCCGTGGGGGGCACGGCCTGGCTCGCGGGGCCTTCCAGAGTGCCTTAGCACCTTCGATCCTTTCCCTGTGACCACACCTGCCTCCCCTCCTCTGTTTACACGACGACTCATTCCTGTCCTGTCGGCTGACCCCGACCCCCGCCCTGTAGACGGAGAGACAAGCCACTCAGTACCTGTGAGAAGCTGCGCCTTCACCCCGAGCTTGACTGTTAGCGACACGCACCTGCCACGCAGCCTGTCAGAGCGCGAGTCCCGGCGGCACCTCGAGGAGGAGCCGGCACTGATGTGTGTCCCTGGGGTCCGGCCGCGCCCCACCCTCCTGCAGGAGGCGGCTGGGGCGGTGGGGTGCAAAGGTCCCTGGGTCCCCCGGGGGGACCGGCGATGGGACGGATACTGTGAGCGCGGTGGGGCCGCCCGGCCGGCTGCCTCGGTACTTGAATTCTGTCTTGTGTTCTGCACTGTGTCTGGCCTCGGCCAGAGTTCTCTGTGGTCACTAACTGTGCATTGGATCCTGTTGTCTTACTTGCCCTGACTGTGGACGCAGCCGCGGGCGTGAGGCCGGGGAGACCCTCGGGGCGAGCCTGCGGCCCTTCCCGGCTCCCGGGCGGGTGACCCTGCGGGCGGGCGACCGGGCAGGGCTCCTGAGCCTGGCCTGCTTCTCCTCCAGGGAAGTTCCTTCTGTGTTTGTGTTGAGAGCTGGGAGGGAGACGGGAGGGGAGGCTGGGGTCCCCGGGGGGGACTCCGGGGTGCGGCCCTGGCCTGTCCCCGGCGGGGGGCAGGATTGGTCCAGGGCCGGCCTCCCCGGCAGTGGCTGCTCAGATTCCCCTTCGACGGGCGATTTTTATGGCAATATCTTGCCATAGGGAAAGGCCGATTACCCACAAACCACCCGAAAACTGGGAGAAAGCCTGTTGCCTCGGCCGCAGTAACCCCCCCACCCCCGCAGAACGGGGGTGCAGGTGCCCTGAGCTCTAACTGCTGCTGCCGGACCCGACACCGGCCGCCTCCACACGGCACCCCACATGGCACCGAGACCGCGAGGGCTGTGCACGCTGTTTCTAACGTGGCAAAGGTTTTGGGCTGTTTGTTTGTTTGTTGTGTTTCTTTGGGGAAAAAAAACCTGAAAAGGAAAATTATGCAGAATCTAAAGATTCGGATTGGACCACCTGCTCAAATTCTGATCAGTCGCTTCCTTGTTCGCGTTTTGCACATGACTGTAATTTTTATGTCCACAGAAGCCAAAACTCGCAATACTATTTTTAGCAGAAAAAAAAAAGAACTAAGTGTAAAATCGTATAAATATTTTTGACTTGAATCTTTGGATGACACTGGGTGCAAACAGACCCTTCATCCTCCGGACGGGATGTTTGGGGCAAAGACTTTTCACAGGAGCCGGTGGTGGTGAGGCCGGTGTGGGGGGTGGGATGCTGCCGCTCTCGACTGTTAACACCAGTAACCAAACACGCAGGCTGTGCCGGAGGAGGCGCTGCAGGAGGCACCACCGCGCCCGCCCTCGGCCTCCGACGCTCGCTTTTTTTTTTTTTTTAAGAAGGAAACCTTGGTTCTCGCTGCGCCGGGCTCCGGGCTGTCGCTTCTTAGCCGTGGCTGACGCTGCACCAATAACTCAACCCACAGACACGCCCGCGGCGACCGCCCAGCAGGGCTCCTGGTGTGCTCAGAGCCACTCCGTAGAGTGGACGTTCGTTACAGACAGAAGGACATGACTGGTCATTGTAAAGCGCTTTGTAAAGTTCACATTTACAGAATAATAAAGTCAGTTCAAACCCGCCTGGCCTGGGCTTTGCTTGGACGGGAGGGTTGAGGGGGGACATTGAGAAGCCAGGGAGGGGGCCGGGCTGCGAGGGGCAGAGTGACCAGCTGTCCTGGGCTGCCCTCAGGCCCCAGGGAGGGGAAGCTCACTGTCCACTGTCCACACCTGGCCCCTCTCCTTTCCCCCCATGTCTCCTGGGGGAAGGGGCTGCTGGGCAGGATGGCCTGGGGTCATGGCCTGAGCCAGGGCCTCCTTTCTTCCTTTTTTACAATCCTCACCCGAGGATATTTTTCCACTGACTTTTGGGGAGCGTGGAAGTGAGAGGGAAAGACAGAGAGAAACATCGATGAGAGAGAAACACATCGATTGGCTGCCTCATGCACGAACCCCCACCAGAGCCTGGGCTGGGGAGGAGCCTCAAACCAAGGTATGTGCCCTTGACCAGAACCGAACCCAGGACCCTTCAGTCCACAGGCCAACGCTCTATCCACTGAGCCACACTGGCTGGGGCTCATTCTTCTTTTTTAAGATATTTTATTGATTTTAGCGAAGAAAGGATAGGGAGAAAGAATAAACATCAATGGGAAGAGAGAATC